AATGATGAATTTAACTTATGTAAACCTGATCTGATTTTTTTTTAAATGTGAAAAATACAGCAAGCAAGAGGATTTATTTTGGTTGTTTTTGCTACTTGAGATTGAACCCAGGGGCACTCTATCACTGACTGAGCTACATCCCCAGTTATATTAATTTTTGAGACAGGGTCTCCCTAAGTTACTGAGGGTCATGCCATATTGCTGAGGCTAGTCTTTTAACTTGTGATCTTCATGCTTTAGCCTTCAAAGTATTACAGGCAGGCACCACTATGCCTGGCTAGATGGGAATTTTTAAATTTTACTTTAAAAACATTGGAAATGCAACATGTCTCTATTGTATTAGGGTCTTTACAAGATGGGTTATTTAGGTGTGAGTAGGAAAAGATAATGTATCATGCCATTTAAAAATAAATTTCTTTTCAAAGTGTAAAGGAATAGACAAATCAAATTGTTTTATATTTTCCTATTATGTCTATAACATCACCATTATTTCCTAAGTAGCCATAAGTTATTGAAACCAATTCTTCATTTATATGTAAGTATAGTCTTTGTAACTATGAAGTTAATTTCTGTATTGAGTATTTAAGTCAGCAAAATAAATACACTATTGGTAAGACTCAGTGGCTTATGCCTGTAACCCAGGCTACTCCAGAATTAAGGCAGGTTGATCCCAAGTTCAATGTCAGCATGGGCAACTTCGTGAGTTCCTGTCTCAAAATAAATGGAAGAAATTTATGGGTTCAATTCCCATAATAATAATTCCAAAATAAATGGAAGAAATTTGTGGGTTCAATTCCCAGTTTTGCAAAATGAAAAAAAAAATTAATTGGAGTCTCTCCCTGCCTGCTGCCAATTTTAATTTCTAGAAATAAGACTTAAGCATTTCTGTATGTCTCAAATGCCCCAGGTGATTTTTATCAGCAAAATTTAAAAACTGGAAGGCAGTAAAAAGACTTAAGTATTCAGAAGATACTGATAAGGCATGCAACTTACTAATAATACCAATGGATCAAGTTAACAATAGCAAGATAAAAGACAGGCAACATTGGCATTTATAGGACATAGGCATTTCTGGGAAAAACACCAAAATAATGAAAAAAATCCAATTTTAGGTATTGGGGACAAAGCAGTGAGTTGACAAAATTAAGGCTCTGCTCTAATGGAACTTACATTCTACTGGGGAGGTAGTCAATGGCAAATGATCAAAATACATAAGAGTGGTGAAATGCTAGGGAAAAAAAGCAAGGTAAGGGGTTTAAAAATGATGGACTCAGGATACTAATTTGAGATGACAATTGAGCTGTGAACTAAAGGAGGTGACAGCTTGGTAAAAATCAGACAAACACTCTAATGGAACAATGCTGACCCAGAAGGATTCTTCCATGTTCTAAGAGCTGCAATGGCAGTAGTGATTCAAAAAGACTGGAAACAGCTGAGAGAAAAGTGCCTTAGTTAGGTCAGACCTAACAAAAAATGGGGAAGGCATTTTAATGTTATTGGTGTAAAAGGGGTGTTTGGTTTTACATATTATAAGATTAGATATCCACCAGCTATTACTTAAGTGGAGATGAGATCAGGGGTGTGCTTAAAAGCAAGATACTCAGCACAAAAAAGAAAAAAGCTGCTGAAACAAGGACAGAAATCAAAAGTCATATGATAGCAATAGAGCCTCCGGAAAGTAAACAGAATTGAGACAACATCCAAGCAAAGAAAATCAAAAAACAAAACCACCTCCACCTAGTCCATCAAACTCTAGGACACCATAGACAAAGCTTTAAGATTTGAGAAGTAAACAGATGAAAAAATGTAAACAGTGGGCGGCTCAGTTCCACAGTTCATTCTTTAGAAGAAAGCCTAAAAGTATATAACACTGCAATTACAATAAAGCGACATTTTCTTCCAAACTATGCTTATCACCAATGCAATCAGTATCCTAGCCCTTTAAGTAGAATTATTGTTTCAGACTGTTTATTCCTTCAGTTTAATATTTAAATCAAGACTCAAATGTAGAGTGGACCATGAAATTAAGAATATCTCATTCATTTGTGAGTTTAAACCACCCACTAATATTTCTTCATATTACAACTTTTTTTTTTTTTAAACTAAAGGACAAAGTGGATAGAATTCTGTTAGGGTAGAAAAATTAGCACATGAAGGTTCACTGGAGAATTTCTATAGACACTTAGAAAAAGAATCTTAAAATTTTTTTTAAGTCCTCTTTCCTAAGTAATCACATCTTTCATCTTCATACATASCTAAGATTTCCTATCCTTCACTCTTCCTTTACAAGGACTCCCAAGATATTCTATAAGGAAATCAACCCATTAGGTCCCAAATTTTTAAAAAATTTAAAAATGAAAAACTGCACATAAATTCTACTACAAGATCACTTATTAGCCATTTCCAGGGAAAAAAATGTAATTTTGATTGAATTATTTTCTTTCAAGTATCTACAACTGAATGGCCTACGAATTTTTAATACAAAAGTTTTGACATTCTGTCTCCAGATATTTTTACTGCTGCACTGTTCTCCAGTTGTCTCCCTTTTAACAACTTTCCCTCTTTGAAAATCTTGTATACAGTGCTACAAAAATATGTAAATATTTTATACTTTTGATTTTTGAACTTAATCTGCTTAAAGATGTTTCTGTATAAAGATGTTTGTACAGATCTATTCAGAAAAAATTATATTATTTGCTAATAAACTAAAAAATTTAAAACTATCTCCCATTTACCAATATATGGTCATATTTCAGATATTAACTGGGTAAGCCTAAAACAAAAATCTCATATTTAAAAATTAGTTGCTTTTCTAAACCTCCATCCCTTTTCAGTCTTTGTATTTATAAAGCTACAGCAATTAGTTATGATCCAAAGTTAATTTTCTAGTCAGAAGCAAAAATGCAGAGAAAAAAGACATGTCAAATAACTCGTGTAATGTTCTTGACAAATCACATGAAAATGATAATCTGTATAAATCTGTTTGCACACAATCTACCCAATCTTTTATTACAAAAACTACAAAACCAGATTTTTTAAAAAATCACATGTAATCTAGAGTATATAAAATTCTGACAGTTGTTTATTAAGCCACTCACACCCTGAAACTAATGAAGGAAATCATTCAAACTCCTGTTTTCATAGTCTTAAAACTATTTTCTTTCTACATACCCTAAATAAGGAATATTTTCTTTATAAGCAGAGAGGTCATTGCTTTTAATAAGAATCTTTTATTGCATATTATTAAAGTGGAGAGTTGACTGATACAATGTTATGCAAAATCTCTCAGGCTTAAACAAATGGATAAAAAGAGTAAAGCACAATGAGCATGTAAGAGACAAAAAAATAAGCATTTTTATAGAAAATGATCCCTGTTTAGGTACTCATGTTCTTCTCTATTGTTTCTTAACAAATTTATGGCTTGTTCCTTTCCTAAATAATTACATTTTACAAATAATTACATGTTTAGTATCAATGTTAGTATTAGATTCTTCATTCAACTCAGCTAGTTGACTGAAATATTAGAAAACTAGAGCTCATTCTCTTATTTCCAAAAATACAATACTGTTCTATGAAATTTGCACAAAAGGATATAATGCAAATGTCACAGCTTACTAAAATATAATGTATTAAGAAAGGTCAACCCCAGCCCCTTAGCTGTGTTAATATATTGAGCAGCATAATTTTTTAATCAAATGCTCTTGTGCAATAAAATTATTTATATTAAATGTGGAGAAAAGTGGAAAACTTAAAAAAAAAGTCAGCACTGAGTTCTTTCTTCATTTTCATATTTAATTAGAAACTATGGAGTTATTCCTTCATATGATGTTTCAGATATCAGGAACAAACACATCATCATTCTTCAGGGCAACTATATCTAAAAGAAAAATCTGTGTTTAAAGGGAGGGTGTTGTTTCATTCACATCATATAAATTTTAAAACTGACTGGATAAAAGGAAAATATTAAAAAAATATATACAAACTTTAGTAGATTGCAGCTTCCATAACAATTCAATTTGGACATGTATAGGAATATTATAGAAATATGTCCATATACTTACATTTGTCAAAAGTAAGGCTCAAATTTGTTACATCACAGCATACATCCAAGAATGAATGCATGCCATGATTCAAAATTTCCCACTGAATACAAGAAATAAAAAAATCTATGAATAAATAAGGCATCCTAAAATATTGTCTGCAGAAAGCCAAATGGTCCAACAAAAATTTCTGTGATCTAAGTTTTATTTCATAGAAAGATGTACATAGTCTTCAAAATTGATTATTTGTAGTACTACACATTATCAATTTTCAACTGCTTACCAAAATATCCTTTCTCTGGTAGCTAAATATTACCTTAAGGGGGAGAAAAAAAGATTAAGTGCTTTAGGGAATAAGAATGCAGGAGAAAAGTACAGGAGCCCACATATCCTTTTTCTGAAATTTAATTTGTCATATATAAGGTTTTTATATACAATCAGTGTGCATTGTAACAGTTTATATTAAAAGTCAATCAAGTTTGTCTAAAATGTTAACCTGGCTGCATAGCACATTTGACATTATTGCCCACATGAAAAGGGAAAAACAAATGGATTTACAATAACTTTTGGCTGTTTTGGATTCTTAGAGTGTTCATACACCTACTCTTTTAAACCAAATGCATCTGAAAAAAATGTTTCCAGAGCATGCAGTTTAGATTTTCCATATTATTTCACCATTTTTTTTTTTAAACTACAAACACAATATTGGCTAAAAAAGAAAAAAAGGTGGGGGGCATCACATGTATCTAATAAAATATTCAATATAAAAAAGAGAACTAATGGAAATAAGTGGTGCCTTTCCCCATTTTTTTACATTCTAAACAATGATTCCATCAAGACAAATCATTAAAAAGTGTTATTAACACTGTTTTTTTTTTTTKKTTKKTTKKTTTTKKTTKKTTTTTTWAWWARRARGSC